GCAAAAATGTGTTGTTTAAAAAAAGTCCAGCAGGGCCCATGGAAATTGCAAAGGAACAGATTTTTTTTTTTTTGTAGCTGAAAATGGACCGACTTCTCCAGACACAGGGAAAAGACATTTCAACAAGTCTGTGGCACGCAAGTTTGGCATTCTCCCCCCCCACCCCCCCAGGGCTGTGGCGTGCAAGCGCTTGCTATTTCACAAATACAAGCTCTCTTTTCTCTGCCATCCAAATCCACATTTTACACTTGCAGTCATGTGGGCACACTGGACCCGTGAAAGCCACATGTGGACAAACAAATGACCGGGAGGTGCGCGCGAGTGTGTGTGTCCGCGTGTGTGTGTGTGTGTGAGGGTGAGACTGGTATAACGAGCGGCAGGTGTAGATGGCGATCTCTCCGTCGGTATCAGCTACGACGACGTCTCCCAGTTTCCCCAGTAACGGAGCTCGACCAGATCCAGGGCCGTACCGAGGGCCAGGGTATTTGAGCCTGGCTGATGTTGGCATCACTTTCTTTTCCAAAATATCTTCTGGGCCGAGGACGTCTTCCTGAGTATCATGTTATGGCCATATTATTGGTTTATAGATGATATTATAATCATACGTCTGTGTAGATTTTTGACCGGCTGTTTTTATTGGCCTCAGACTGGTAGAATATTTTAGTTTGTTTTTTTTTTTGTCTTTGAGAGACTATTATAAAAAAAAAGAAAATGAATAATAATGGTTCAGAGGTTCAGATTAACTGACCTTTGATGAACAGTCAGTGTGAGAGTGTCTGTATCTGTGGCCCCGCCCATAAACTGGTGATCTTTATAGCCGTGTTTCTTAAGCCACGACACAGCACCAAACAGAAACCTCCAAAAAGTCAATGTAATAAATGATAATAATCTTCTGGTTTAAATGACCTCAGAATGGACTAAAATCTCAGCCTGTTTAGTTGAAGACAACACTGATATACTGGCAGGAATTGAAGAAAGAAACACAATCACAAAGATCTTCTTCAACAGCTCCATAGCCATCTACTGCCCCCTAGCTGAATAGGATTGTATTGCTTTGCCTCTCAGGCATTGACGAACAAATAAATAAAATTTTTGGGACAAACAAACGGCACAGTGGTTAAGAATCACTGCTTTATAGGACCCCCCAGACCCCCCCCCCAACCTAATGATTCGACCAATGGCCTCCCCCGCAACCCTGAAAAGGATTAATAAAAAAAAAAACACTTCCTAAAGCAGAAATACTCAGTGCGTACAGTAGGTGGCAGCAGTTAAAACACACATAAAGGACTCAACAGTTTTATATCCGAGGCTTACGGTGCAAGGTAAGTCAACACTCCTGTTCTAAGTAGGTGTGAGTTTGACTGGAGGAGCTGAGCCGGTGACAGTAACAGGCCCAAACCCTCAGAGAAGAAGAAAAAAAAAACTGCCAAGGAAAAGCCCCCGGGGGCGACACGTCTCGCCGCTCGTGTCGGCTCAGTAAACGAGAAGGTGCGCGGTGAGAGTCAAGTCCTAACAGCTGGGCTCAACTGTTGCCTTCGAGATTTCACGCGGCGGTAAATCCCGACAGGTCGCGGACTGTGATACACATTAGAGAGACTTCCACATCCAGACGCACACACACACACACACACACACACACACGTGCTCTCTTCCTTCCCTGACTTTTTCCTCCGTGTGCGACAGCCTGCCTCCGTCGCCCGGTTTGATTTACGAGGCGTTGCACAACAAGCCACTGGTGTTTATACAGAGCACCCCTCTGCACTGACAATAGCTCTTTTCATTGCTCTCAGAGAGACACACACTGTGCTCTGCACTCATTTGGA